ATTGAAATCTTACTGTGTATTTATGGCAGTTATGACGACAGAAATACAGAAATGCTTGAAATAGTCACCGTAGCGACTGCAAAACACCCTGGGACAGCAAAGGAGACAATCCCGTATGTGAGTACCATAATGAATTCCGTGTTATTTTGAAAATAGATTTGCGGACTAATTGCAACCCCGCGTGATTCACAAACACAATCGTCAGTGCCAATAGAAGCGAAGAGACGAGTCCCAGGAAGTAGTCTTGAAGATGGAGAACGATCGCCGGGACAAGAGCTTTATTAGCCTGACGTTTCGGATTCCTACTCGAATCCATCATCAAAGACAAAAAAGCAGAAACGGGTGGTTGCTGCACAAGGTACTGGACAGGACAGACTACTTTCAAAAAGCAAAAGGTTTACTGGAGGACCGAGAGTTCTATGTTCCATGTGCAACGAACCCTTTAAAGGCGCTGACACGCGAAATTAATGCTACGTTGTTGGCCTTGGAGAACTCAGTTGCAATAACACCGACCGACAGACTCATGGCGAGACCCCAAGATACGGCTTTGGCCCGATTCTATGGCCTCTATTAGGTGCAAAAAGACGGCGCTACTCTCCGACCCATCCTGTCGCTCAAAGGTACTCCAACGTACGGACTGGCTAAGTGGCTGTTCCGGCGTCTCAAGATCCTGACCGCTGAGTCAGACACCACGATCTCTTCGTCAGCAAAATTCCTGGAGAAACTCAAAGGGGTAGGCATCCATCCAAATGAGGTCATGGCATCTTTTGATGTTACATCCCTGTTTACTTCTATTCCCCAGGACCTGGCGATCGGTAAAATTGAGCTGCTACTACAAAGTAAATACGGTGAAACGGAGAACCGTCTTGGACACGCCCAAATCCTTCAGCTACTGAAGCTCTGTCTCAGAACGTACTTCACGTTCGACGGACAATCTACGAACAGGTGAAGGGCACACCAATGGGTTCGCTGATTTCGGGATTCATCGCCGAGGCGGTCCTGCAACGGTAAGAGTCGCTGGTCTTCCAACACCACAGACCGAAATTCTGTGCCCGGTATGTGGATGATAACGTCGTCGTCATCGAACGGGATCAGGTGTTGACATTCCAAGAACATCTCAACGCCGTTTTCCCGGACATTCAATTTACGATGGAGGAGGAAGAGAACAACCATCTGGCCCTCCTGAATGTCCTCTTATGCCGCAAGTATTGTGGTGGACTAAAGACCAAAGTGTTCAGGAAAGCGACAAATACGATGCAAGTACTGAACTTCAACAGCAACCACCCAATCAGCCACAAACGCAGTTGTGTAAGGACGCTCAATCGGCGTGTCGAAACGCACTGTAGTGAGCCGGAAGACAAAAATGCCGAAATACAATATCTCCGACGGGTCTTCAAAGCCAATGGCTACCCGCGCAACTTCGTTGACCGGTGCATACGCAAAAGGGACGAAATGCCTAACCGCAGGGACACCAAATCTTGGCGGGCACTTCCGTATGTTAAGAACGTTTCGGAAGCTGTCGGCCGCCTTCTCACACCACTTGGGGTTGGAGTGGCTCACAGACCGGAGGCAACCATTAGGCGTCTGTTCATGAAGCCGAAAGGCCCACTGCCACGGCTAGAAACGTCTGGAGTCGTTTATTGGATCTGGTGCAGATGCGGACAAAGCAACTACGTCGGAGAAACCGGAAGACAGCGCCGAACGAGAATGGCCGAACACGCGGCAGCGGTGCGCAGAAATGACGCCAGCTCTCAAGTTGCGGCTCATTCGACGTGATCCGGTCACACATTCAAATTCGATGAGGCCGAAATTCTCGCAAGAGTTGAAAACCGCGTAAACCGGGAGCTACTGGAATCATGGTTTACTGGCCCTCAGTCCATCCACAAGTGTAATGATCTTCCCATTCCCTGCATGCTAAAATTTCGCCTAGGCGGAGTAACAAGCCATGCGGGGAGCGCAGACGTGAATACTTTTCCCAACACCGGGGTTCGGTGCGTCAGATGGTCGAGCAATCATCACGCCAACATCCAACGCACGTGATGAAATTGCAGCAATTATCGACTCGAATGTCGGCCATCAAGCAGTGATCACACCACTTGCGACGATCTCGAATAAAGGGGGAGCCGTGAAAGTTCATAGTTATGCGGTAGCATGGCTACTGCATCCTATAAATACCGCAGCCCCTTGTGCAGCAACCACCCGTTTCTGCTCTTGTCCCGGCGACCGTGTCTCCTTCTTCAAAACAATCGTCAGTTATACGTGGTTAAAAGTGATCTTTGTAATTGACATGACTGTCCGGCAAAACGTACGTGAATTAACTATTCATAGTAATATAGCTTTATTTTCAATAGCACACATTTTCCGAACTGGCATTAATTTTGACGAATGTACGTTTTGCATAACTGCTGAAACATAGTCCATGACGTGTGTTAAGTATGATTATAGTCATCGAATATTATGTTTGTTCTCTTGCATAAACAACACTCCGTCTGATGCAGTTGTGAAACTGCGTCTTTGTGCTTATTTTCTGAGTGAAGTAGCCCACTGTAAAAAGCCTGACGCCTTCTGAGTCGGGTCATCGGTCTAACTGCTATAGCGACAGGTCTGGCATGGAATTTTATTACACTGAGCTCACCGTGAAGGTCATTGGGATTGTGGGGTGAGTAAATCTGCCCATCTTGTTAACTTTTACAGAACTGTCCCCAGCTGAGTCTGTGAAAATACCGGATATTCAGGTCAAAACTTGCCAACTATTTTTGAGACACTGGGTACGCTTAAAACAGGACATGACATTTCTATCAGACGTTTGTCACGTATGAGTTAGAGAACTGCTGACTGCTGGTGAATACTTACTTGCACAACTATTTAGAAAAATATGCTTAGCATGGATCGGCTTGACCTAAAGTAAATGACTTTTTCAGCCAAAATGCAGTCCTAATCCTTTTAATACAGTAAGTGTGCTAACTCATGAAATGTTAACCAAAATTTCGAGATGCGTTCTCGTTTCGAAAAGAAAAATCAAGTAGTGTTGTAAAACTAATCATAAATCTTTAATGATCCAGTTCCCTCAGGGTGTCTGCTTTCGAAAGAACTTATTTTTGGCTGCATGCAAAATCTACACACTGCAGAAAATGACTACTTAAGTAGTATGCATTTTTTTCATTGGTTTTCGATGCCATTGAAGATTCAATTATATTTCATGGAAAACATGCATAAAAATATTAATTCTTGTATTTATTCGGTAGAAAATTACGTCTTCTTCCAATTTCATATTCAAAAGAAGAGTTTAATTCGGTTTTAAAAAAGTTTCTAATTGTGAGATTTTTTAATACCGTTAAATGGCCGTTCATGAAACGTCATGCATCTGCATTTACGAATGTGACTTGTAAGGTTAACAATATTGTTCAAATCCACTGCTTAATTTTATGAACCTCATATAGTCTCCTCTTAACACCGTAGAGAAATGCATGGTTTTCCGTACACGGAAAATATACAGCTTGTAGTTTTGAAACCCTGAATGCAAGTGTAACAGCAGGTCGGGTTCAAAATTATTCAGGAATTAGAAAAGTTTTTTAAAACCGAATTATACTCTTGTTTTGAGAATGAAATTGGAAGAAGACGTGATTTTCTACCGAATGAGTAAAAGAATGAATATTTTTATGCATGTTTTCTATGAAATATGATTGCATTTTCAAGGGCATCGAAAATCAATGAGAAAATTGCATGCTACTCAAGTAGTCATTTTTTGCAGAGTATAGATCTTGCATGCAGCCGAAAATAAGTTCTTTCGAAAGCCGACACCCTGAGGTAACTGGATCACTATAGATTTGTGCTGCATCATGATTAGTTTTACAAAACTACTTAATTTATCTTTTCGAAACGAAAACGCATTTCGAAATTTTGGTTGACATTTCATGAGTTAGCACATCTACTGTACGTCCCTGGCATTTACTAACCCCCGTTGAATCAACTGTACCATGTGTTTATTCTAATTTGCCTTACTACAGTCAGTGAAAAATGCCAAAACACTTTGGCCGACATTCTGCAGTGTGACGGCGTTGAGGAGGGATTAAATAAATAAGGTTGCAACACTGATTTATGTGGAACATAATCGCAAGACAGAATTCGGTCTTCTACATGCAGCTCAGAAGGCATAACAGTTTGACGAGTGTAAATTACTCCCTTTGCTTTTTAATGATATCATCAAATTAAAAATGGTACTTTGGGAGTCAAGCACAAAATGGTTAAATTTAAACACTAAGAAGGTGTAAGCTAGTAACAGTTCTGTTTAGTAAAAGCGTACTGATTCAGTTTGCAGAGCACAAAAACGCATATTTGCACTAAATCTGCTGTTCTGTACATTGTGGTCTGTTCGTAGATGGCAGTGTATGCCAGGAAATGCAAGCTCGAGATGGTTATTTTGCTCAATCGTGCAGTTTTGTGACAAAAAGTAGGTGGACTTGATTGATGTAAAATTTGTGATATATCTTGAAATGTCAGCTCCGTATAGCAAAGACTAGTTTGTTGCGTACTTTCGCAGACGTAGTTACGTGTCGTTATTGCCGGTACGCTTGTAAGCACTAAACACACTGCAAATTCTGTACCCCTTCAAAACCATGAGATGCGGATAAGATGCCGTACGACAAATACACAGAGGGAAGGCTCTTCATGGAAGGCTAAAAGAGCAATGAAATAATTCATTATTGAAAAGTATGTCGCATTTAAAAAGCAGTTTTATATTTGACCAATGTCGATTACATTTTAAAAAGAAAATATAAAGCCATTTTATTCAAATGCACAAAGAGTTGCGGAAACCCAAGCAGGCATTGAAGTAAAATTAAGCGGGTTTTAATTAGGATGCGTAATAGAACCAAATCAAATTTTATGCTGCTGACAGACGGTCCACGCATATTCCACCCCAATTATTTATAATTGATCCTTTACCAAACAGTAGTGAGGGCAATCTGTTTAAAGAGTTTTCCAAAAAAGCATTCGTCACTATGACTTCCCCACGTCTGGACACTGATTGTTGCCTAGGAGCAAAGGTAAGCTGATGCAGTAATTAAAGCTACGAATTCGGCTCACAAGTTCCTAGACGTCAGAATAATACGTTCTGACTTACATTTGCGACCGATAGCATGGAAACTTTACCGACGTTTCGAAATGAATTTCTGATTGGAACGTATTACTTTAAGTAGATTATAATATTGTCTGCTTTGGGACAAAAATTCCCCAATATTTTAGATACGCTAGAATACTGGCTTTCAAAGGCATTTATTTTCCGAAGTCACGTACAGCGACATTTTCCATGTTCATTTAGTAGCAACTCACGTCTTCCTTAAAATATATATTCAAATTAAAGATATCTTTACGGTTTTAACAGTTTTTACTTAAGAGGTCTTTTCAGACCATGCAATGTTCACTTAAATCGCATCTTATCCATCTGTCTAGTGGTGCTTCTCATTAAGTATACAATATATAATATCCAATGCAACATTTTCTATGTCTCATGCATTATTTGTCTGTTAACGTAAGTAATTTATGATGTTTTTCATATAGAAAGAAAAATCCAACAAGTTCAAAATTATTCGAAAAAAAACGATTTAAAATCTCTAACACTACTCAATCTTCAAGTATACTATTTGAACAAGACATAACTTTATACGAACGGAATACTATTTTATAGGCGTTTGTTGTATACTTTATTTAAATGGAAAAGGGTACCAAAAATCCGTGGGACACAAGCATGATTTTAAGTGTTTATTGCTCCCCAAGCTCGGTTTCCGCAAGCAGTCAACAAGAAGTTCATTAGAATGCCAACATCCTGACGTATCTGGAATAGGGTGGCACTATGTCACAAAATAAGCGTAATTGCTATTCTATTTAAGTACTTCTTCCCAATCAGAAACGCATATAAGAAGTTCGACTAGCATTTCACGAAATTGGTCACTGAGCGTAGTTGAATTTAAGAAACTACGTAAGATTATTGCCACGCACAGCAAAAATAGTATACTCCACGATCATTGGAATTGGAATTGGCGTATACGGACTCCCTGACAGTAATGCATATTACCGTCTTGAGTCATAGCAGCCGACAAGTAAAGCCCCGAATGTCTGCTTAATTAATAAAATTAACTGTTATTTGGAAAATAAATGTAACTAGGCAACATAATAATGATAGTAATCTTTTAACATGATATCACCTGACTTTCTAACTACACCTTGATCCCGCAATAGATCGTTTTAATTTTATTATATGAGACAGGCTCCACAACCTTGGAGTAGATCTTATATTTTTTGATGCTTAGCTAACAACCATCTACACATGCCGCTTTATAAATGATGAAACATCGGGCAATTATTGTGCATGATACATCGTCATAAACTTCAAAATCAGTCATCTCCAAGCGAGATCATGCTACAGAAATCTGGCCAGTGTTTCATGAGTCAAATGTCCCACTGAATACATGTGGACAGCCCAATAACTACCATCGACTCGTTATCGCAGACATTTGCAAACTAATGTGTTTTAATTTTAAAGCTCAGTAAAGTCGTTTTATACAGCCAGCCTGCTTTGTCACACTGAGAATTATAAAGCATGGCAACGGTAGGTTGGTGGACTCCTCTTGCATTTCAGTAGGCTTCAGATCATGTTATACGGGAACAATGGGAGTGAGGGTTTTACGGGTGGAACAGTACACCGGACAATAAATTGGCAAAAAGTAAGTAAACAGAGAGATCGTTTAGATTCTGCCGAAAGTCTCGTTGTACTTTTTCATCTGGCAACGGAGATAATCGCGTCATTAAAAAATGAACAAAAATCAAAATTTCGAAAATAACGAAGTTTAAACAATAGTTGGAGGTTATGGACAGTTTATGTTGTTGACAGTGAAATGCTTGCAACGGCCCGCAAATGGATGCCAAGGTAAAATCCCACATGACACGATCCACATTTGCCGACAGTTAGGTGGTGTCCTTCGCCATACTATCGCCTAAAGCGTAGGAGCAATAGATAAGATGTACCGAGGACATGCCATTCTTTTTTCTGTAGTGAGATTTCCAGGTGAGTTGAGTTCAGACATATTTTCACGTGCGTAGTATACTTCGTAATGTGGCACTAGTCCGGCGTAATTGCAGGCGTGACTGTTTACTGTCCGTCTCACGCTTCCCTTCAACTCGCTGCTGGATCCAGCTAAGACTTGGCACCATCCAATCAACGCTGCCTCCTTTGTGCTTGGCTGCTGCCGACAGCAGCGTAGAAGGGCGCCACGCGAGCTAGCGACTAAGAAACCAAACGGACGACGTACACAGACACGTTTAAAAAAAGAGACGACTGGCTACGCCTGCTTGCTCAGCTATCTGTACCCTGTTTTACAGCCTGCTCAAAGGCCGTCTCTGTCCTGATACAGTAGGTGGGCTAACGCATAAAATGTCAACCGAAATTCCAAAATGCGTTTTCGTTTTGAAAAGATTAATTAAGTAGTGTTGTAAAACAAGTCGGCCTACAGCATAATTATATAATAATCTATCTACATTACGATGCTATGGAAATAGTTTTTTTGGCTGCATGCAAACGGGTATGCTGGATTAAATGACTACATAAGTGGCATGCATTGTTCTCATTAATGCTCGATACTCTTAACAAGTGAATGGTATTTCATAGATAACATGCATACAAATGTTTATTCTGCTGCTTATTCGGTAAGAAATTAGGTATTATTTCAATTTTATACTCGAACAACGGATACAGTTTAGTTTTAAAAAATTTTTAAATTTTGAGATTTTTTTAATGCCATGAGATGGCCGTTGATGAAGCGCTATGTCTTTGCATTTACCAATGTGGCTTGTAAACTTAGCAGCATGGCCCAAATCCACTGCTATATGGACCCCATATGGACCCCATATGGTCTCCTCTTAATACTGTAGAAAAATGTATGATTTTCCCGTATGCAGTAAATGCGCTGCCTGTAGTTTGCAAACCCTGAATGAAAGTGTAACTGCAGATTGGAATACAAATTATTTTGGAATTCGCAAGATTGTTGAAAACCGAATTATACCCCTCCTTGGAGTATAAAATTGAAAGAAGACGTAATTTCCTACCGAATAAGCAGCAGAATGAATATTTGTTTGCAAGCTTTCTATGAAATTTTATTAAATTTTTAAGGGCATCGAAAATTAATGAGAAATATGCATGCTACTTATACAGAAGAACTTTTTGGCATGCAGCCGAAAAGTAATTGTTTCGATAGCAGGCATTCTGAGGTAACCGAATTAGTGTAGATTGACGCTGCTCGGTGATCTGTTTTACATCCATACTTAATTAATATTTTTGGAACGAAAACACATTTCAGAATTTCTGTTGACATTTCATGAGTTTGCCCATCTACTGTATGTAAGTATGGACTCCGTTTTTTGGTCATTTCGACAGCAACATTTTTGAAATGCTTTCGAGTGGAAGCATTACGTACAGAAGGTTTGTTAGCACTTCTGCAAATATGACAAATTTGCCTTAACAGAAGGGGTCCTTAACAGCACACCGTCAATATTGACAGTTTAAGATGAAACTTAAAATACGTACTTAGTTCCATCACACAAAATGTACACATGTTCATGCTTCGCAGGTCTAGCAAACACATACTGTTGGTAGACACAAACGGTCTGTGGTCTAATTTGGTCGTGTCTCTGATTGGATCGATGAAGAAGATGAGATTGTCTTCTCATAAAATTGACATATTAACAGACAATACCATGCAGAAGAGTCGGTCCAATTGCATTTAGCAATCAATGTGCACGCTGTCTTTGCGAAAAAGTCAACGCTAGTACATGCTGAGAATTTCCAAACTTTCTTAGCAATACATACCACCATATATATCCGAGGTCACATTGACAATCCACAAGTTTTTTTCTTAATTTTGCCCATAAAAATATTTAAAAGAAAAGGTCTAATTGGTGAGCTCACTGCCACACTTGCCTCGTTTAATTTTCGAGGAAATTAATTCGCGAACTTGGAGTTAATATTTCGAAAAAGGCCCTTTTAGGCACGGTCCAAAGTTTGATATGAATATTTGAGCTGAAATCCATCAGCTTCTGCGATATAACCGTTTAATATTCACAAACCACCAACAGGCAGCCAGTAGTAGAGAACTGTGAAATGATTTACCGTACTAACAACTTAGGTATTAGCTAAAAGCCCAGACACGTGTGTTTTGACGATATTATGCCGCTGCCTGATGCAGCTGCGAGGGGGTCAGCTCGTCAGCGGGTCCCCCAGCATTTCCCCGTGTGTTTTCTGGTATATGAACTGCAGTTTCTACTTGCCTTGTTTAATTTCCGAGGAAATTAATGCGCAAACTTGGAGTAAATCTTTCGAAACGGGCCTTTTCAGGCAAGGCAAGTTGAAACTGGAGTTCATATACCAGAAAACACACGGGGAAATGCTGGGGAACCCCTTGACGAGCCGAACCCCTCGCAGCTGATCAGGCAGCGGCATAAGGTCGGCGAAACACGCGCGTCTGCGCTTTCAGCTAATACCTGTGTTGCTAGTACGGTAAATCATTGCACAGTTCATTGCCACACTGTTTACTGGTCTGCATAATTGGGCCTCGGAGAGAGAACATGCAAGCAGTTCTTTCACCGATGTCACTGAGGTTATTTATTATTTCTACTACTAGCACGTTGGTAAACAGAGATGATAGAAGTTCGACTGTCGTGACCGACGTGTGCTCTACAACAAGGTACAACAGGCACGGTGTATTGCGCATGAATCAGTTAATGTGAACAGAGACTTACGCAGCGTCTACAAAACTCTCTACCCCTCCCCATTTTTGCCCGGTGTCAACTCATATCCGAGTAGACCGGAGTTGAGGGAGGGCGCAGATGGATTGCGCGGCTGGACTCGCACCTAGGCACCCCACTACACCCCCTGATCCACAATAAACACTTGACCAACGGCAACAGTACATCGACAGGTTATAAGGACGACGAGGATGACTGGGTAACAATGATCACGCCCTGGAAACGCAGCGGGTGCGCAAGCCCATCTTGCGGCAGGAACTAGATGCCAGAGCCCTTGGGCGTCCCCACTGCACGTGGTGCCCAAGGCGACATCAGGCGACTGGAGACCCTGTGGCGACTATCGAGCCCTCAACAGCGCTATCATCCCTCATCTGTACCCCGTGCCTCATCTTCAGGACGTTGCTGGAGCCCTTTTTGGCAAAGCGGTTTTCTCGAAGATTGGTCTGGTGCGTGCTTTTCATCAGATTCCAGTCGCCCCTGAGTACATCACTAAAACCGCCGTCACCACACCCTTCGGTCTCTTTGAGTTCATCCGCATGCTATTCGGTCTTCGTAATGCAGCCCAAACGCTCCAGAGTTTAATCGACCATGTCCTACGTGGCTTACCCCCTGTGTACGCGTACATTGATGACCTCTTGGTGGCCAGCCGGAATGAGGAAGAACACAAAGGGCATCTTACCTTGGTGTTTGACCGCCTTGACAAGTTTGGCGTTGTCATCAACCCCTCCAAGTGCGTGTTGGTTGTGCCTTCACTCGAGTTCCTCGACCATCAGGTCGGCTCTGAAGGTTTGCGTCCCGTCCCCTCCAAAGTTGACGCACTTCGTACTTTTCCTCCTCCAATTTCCAAGCGACAGTAACAGCGATTCCTCGGCATGGTCAATTTTTACCGCCGGTTCCTACCGAACTGTGCTGACCTCATGCTGCCTTTCACCAACATGCTTTCTGGTCCAAAAGGCCCCCTCGAGCTGACTGGTGACGCACTGACTGCTTTTGAGAGAATCGAGAATTCCCTTGCGATGCCACATTACGCATACATCCCGCTCCCAAAGCTCAGCTGTCCCTGATGGTAGATGCTTCAACCGTAGCGGAAGGTGCAGTCCTTCAACAACACCTTCTGCTTCGACTCAACCGCTTGTCTTTTTCTCTAAAAAAACTCTTACCAGCTGAGACACGCTATAGTACCTTTGGCCATGAACTACATGCCATTTACCTGGCTGTGATGCATTTCCGGCATTTCCTTGAAGGTCGTGACTTCACTGTTTTCCCTGACCACAAACCGTTGACTTTTGCACTTCGTTCCCACTCCGACAAGTGCAATCCGAGGGAAATCGCCCACCAGAACTACATCTCCCAATTCACCATCGACATCCGCCAGATTGATGGCACGAAGAATGAGGCGGCTGACATGCTGTCCAGACCCTCACTGTCTTCCCTCCAACTCGCACACGGGATCGGTCTTTGTGCCATGGAGGTTGAACAACAGCGAGTCGGTTGTCCTGGCGTCGAGTCTGTTAGTGGTGTTCAACTAAGGAACCCATCCGAGCCCCAGAACCTT